CACCTTGGGGGATGTGTAGTCAGTGGTGGTTCCAAAAAGGTATTCATTTCATAATTTTCATAATGTAGCTCGATCAACTGAGGCATGTCAATGGTTTCCACTGAAATCATTGTGGAGCTGTAAATTTTTTCTTGTGCATGGATAGTGTAGCATTCTTCAACATATGAATACACATTACCATGAACTAATTTTATTACTGCACATGCATATGCATAAGGAATTCCTATCATTTGCCATTCTTGACAGGAACATTCTCGTAATGTTAGATTCACTCTCAAGTCATTGTTTCCTACCTTCACTAGTATCATATTCACACTATAATGTTTAGCCACCATAATTTCAACTCTCAATACATTCTCCTTCAACTTCACTTCAACACGTGGTTTAACTCTGTTTGACCAATTCGCCATTTCTATCTTGCTATTGTATAGCTTCCTCACTAATTTTGCTCAATGCTCATTTATCAATGCACATATATGATGTTTTCTCTCTTTTACTAGCCAAGTATTGAAAGATTCAACATGGCTTGTTGTTATGTTGTCCCATCTTTTGTATGAAAATCTTTCTAAGGGCCAACGATCTATATCTCTATTTGTTTCTAAACGTCTTGCCAACTGTAGGGAGAAAACCATCAAATGACCCATAACAACATGAAATTCTATTTCCAACCTTGCATATGCAATATTATCTAACAACTTAAGTGTGTCTTCCTTGCTTATCCTATCAATCCTTCATATGCCTCTATTAATTTTTGTAAATTCAAAACTGTAATTTTCTTTGACATGATGATAACAAAAAGCATGTCGATTGCCATCAAATATTGCACGCATTACACCAATAATAGCATTATGCCTGTTTGACACTATAGTCAATTGAACTTGGTGTGTGATCTCTCTCACGTTTTCAAAAAACCAAGCCTAATTATCATATATTTCTCCACCCACTATTGCATAAGCCAAAGTAAATAAGTCATTATTTGCATCAATTGTAAAAGTTTATCAAATTTTAGTCGCCTTGGGTTATCAAATTTTACTAGAGTGTAGAAGTGAGCATTCTAGGTCATTTCCCTAGAGAGCAAAGCATACAAATCATTATTCAAATGCCACAAATTAATCTGAATTTTTGAAGTGACTAAACTAACTCTATAATGCAATAATAAATGTTTGTAAAATTTTGTTTTGGTTGTAATGAAATGAATGATGATTATGGTGAGCCCAAGTCAGATTTTCTAACATTAATCATTGATTTCCAGAATTATAACATCATAAACCTTCTTGATTAACCTAAAATGAGACACTTAGAAACCTCTAAGTGTGGTGCACCATTAGACTCAATGGACACTAATGAATCTAGGTCAAGTGAACTTAGAAATTAACACTATATTCAGCCTTGCTCTACACAAGTTTCAGACTAAAACTAGTGGAAGAAAAATAGCTTAAGTCAAATTCATATAACCAATATGGATCTAACTCAAGTCTACATAAGAACTTGAACAAGAATCAGCAAGAACTTATGAAATAACCTTAGAACATCAAGGTAAATCATAAATTCCAGAACTGAAAATAGCATAAAAATCTAAATTCAACATTCATATTCTCATCAAATCTGAATTAAAATCACAAATTCCTTAACTAAATATAGGTTTAGAATCGAATCTTTAAAGAATCAAAATAAGAACATGAAATCAAGAAAATAAACACAACAATTACAAATCTGGAAATCTCATAATGTCAAGTCATCTTTCTTGGAGCTCTAAATGATCAGCCTCTCATGCTCTTCCTCTTCACTTGAATCAGACCTTGAGAAGCCTCCATGAATGTATGAAGATGAAGATGAAATCTGGAGATAAATGTGTGTTGGAGGAAATTTGGAGGAGAAGAAGAAAATGGATGAAAATTTGAAGGAGAATGAAGGCAGAATTCAATGTGAATGAAGGAAAAAGGAGAAGAAATGATTTGGACAGTGAGAGGATGAGAAAATGGTGTGATCTGGACAAGAAGATGAGAGAACTGAATCTGGAAGATTGGAGAGTGAATATGAACGAAAATTGAGAGAGAATATGGCTGAAGTGAGAGAGTGGGATCTGAATTATGAAGCTCTAATCTGAAAATTTAGCTTATGTATGTGTGAATAATGTGAAGATGATGAAACCAAAGTGAGTAATGATAAAAACAAGGAAAATCCAGATCTGAAGTTGGTTAATTTCCAGCTAGAAAATGGAATTAATTGGCTAAAATTCAAATTGAAACTGGTGCCTCATAACTGAATGAATGAGTATGGGAAATGTGACTTGATGCATAGATAAAAATATAATTCCCCTTAGCTTGCTTCAGTTCCCCGTGAGTTTCATGCATTTCAGACTAAATCATGCCTAAATTGCTCTTTGATTGCCTCATGATGATGTCAGCTATTGCTTCCCATTTCTCATGATGATGTCATGCAATGAATTCTTGGATCAGGTCTATACCTCACGCACATGTGCTCATGACTTGCCCATTATTTATTTAATTTCCTCAATGAATTTCTAAAATTAGGATTGCCAACTCAACATTAATTAAATATGAAAATTGACACCATTCAGCCTTTCATGTGCTTTTGACCTCTCCAAAATTGTTGACCAAGTCTTTGCTTCTTGATTCCAAGATTGCCCTCACACAAATCTGAAAATAAAAACATAATACTACATAAATTCTAAAAAGAAAAATTAAAAAGGAAGAAAATGATAATTTAGGCCCAAAAATCCAATCAAGCATCTTAAAGTCTCAACCCATACACCAAATAGTATTATTAGGGTCTATGTAGTCAATGTGTGAAACATAGCTAAAAACCAGGAAACAAACCCTAATATGCACTATTTGGTGCCAAAAACTAAGTGTATAACATGTAAAATATGAAGTAGATCAATTCCCCCACACTTGAATTTTGCTCTCCAGGTAAAACTCTCTCAAAACCTAGACAAGTAAACAACACAAAAATACAAGCTCTTAAGAGTAAATCCAATTTTCAAAGTCAATGCACTATCTCAAGAACTAAATCAATGTTGCAATCTTTAGAGAAAAACCTTAATACATCACAAGTAAACCATCTACAAAAAAGTAATCTCAAAGAGAAAACCTCACCGGATTAGTGTTTCACTCAAGCACTCGGTGTATAAAGGTACAAATATCACTCAAGTTCTTTGGCAAGTCATCCTACCATAGGCTTGTGATCCCTCTATCTCTCCATTACTAAGATACAAGGGTTCTCAAGAATCATATGGACTTTCAAAGGATGTAATGTGCTCAATGAATGGTACACTTAGACTTACATGTGAAAGGGGTAGGGTTTGGCTCAAGAAACTTGTCTTGGCCACAATGTAGGTATGCTCAATATACAAGACTACTCAAACCAAACCAAATAGATAACATAATAAGGATCATGGATGGAATGAATAATGGGCCAAGAATGAGATGAAATGAGAATCTACAAATAGAAACAAGTGAATCAAATAGCAAATCCAAGGAAACTTGCTTATTCAAACTCTTTCTTTTGCTTTTCTTTGATCCACTTTGGATCTCTTTTTCTCAAATATATTTCTTTCTATAATCTTTTTCTTCTTTCTTTTCTATCACTTCTTTCTTTCTTTTGTTTTTTTTCTCTTGCTGTTCTTCTTAATTTCATTTTTTTTTATTTCTCTTTTTTTTTCCAAGTATAGCTTCCAACATTTGGGGACAACTCAAAAATGTTCCTTAATCATAAGAATGGAATGGTATGGCCAATGTGAATGAATGAAATAGATCCCAATAGATGTATCTACTAGTTAAACTAAAAATAGTCAATGCACATTGAAACATACTAAATGAGAATACATGCAATCTATCTAAAATAGGGTCAAGTGTTTAACAATGACAAAACAAAAGAAGGCTCTATTTAGCTAAGCGAGAGATAATCAAGTAATCAAGGGTTAGCTAAAAGGCCTTGGGCACTTTAATGATGGCCATAATCACTTTCCCTACAACCAATGCACAAGTGTAGCCTTAAGTAAGAGAGAAAACAAGTTCTAGAGGATTAACAAAACCAAAGAACATAGAACTCTCAATGGTTGAAGGTCCCTTCCATATGGTTTATTCTTGCCTCTCTAAATCAATTACACTTAACCAAATGGTTTATTGCTTCAAAATAGATTTAAACTAAAGAAAACAACATCTCAAGAGTTCAAACTCAAATGCAAAAACTAAGATCATCTTCAAAACTCAAGATTGCTCACAAAACAAATTTTTTTCAAAAAACACACTTCCCCCCACACTTAAACAATGCATTATCCCTAATGCATGCAAAACACATAATGGGAAGAATTAAATCAAATTTGTACAGCATGTAAAAGTGTTGGAAAAAGTTCATTTCATTATTTTTTTTTCGAAAACCCTAAACTAAACAGCAAAGGGAAATAAAGGAAAACAAAGAAACAACAAAAACTAACATAACAATGGAAAAGGAATTTCATTTTTTTTCTAAACTTAATGAATCAGGTTGCATCTCCCCTCACACTTGAAATCAAAATGATATTCACAAACACAAACACAAGCAAAGAATGGTGTACCATATGTGTGCATATGTGACAGCAAGCATATCCCAATTAGAGCTTCACTTGTGTGCTTTGTGAATCAATCAAATCAATCAAAAAGAAATAAGAAGGAGAGATACAACCTTTGAAGACTCATGGAGGATCTTTGAATCTCATTTCAGCAAGTAATGTGGAAGATTCACCCTCATGAAATTTCTTGCATAAGTGGCCATTTGCCTTGAATGTTAAGCTACTTTGAGGATCTTTGAGGGTGATAGTGCCATAGTCAAAAATTTCCTCCACAATGTAAGGGCCCTCCTATTTGGATTAAAGTTTGCCACCAATGAGCTTGAGCCTTATCTTGAACTTAAGCACTTTATCTCCCACTTGAAAATGCTTCCTCAAAATACATTTATCATGAATGAATTTTGCTCTTTCCATGTACAATTTACAGCTCTCATACGCTTCCAATCTCAAACTCCTTCAATTCTTGAAGTTGGAGCTTCCTTGAGGCAGCTACACCCTCCTCACCAAATACACAAGCCTTCACAGCCCAATAGGCTTTGTGCTCAATCTCCACCAGGAGGTGACATTGCTTACCATAGACTAACCTAAATAGAGACATCCTAATGGGTGTCTTGAAGGTGGTCCGGTATACCCAAAGAGCCTCCTCAAGTCTTGAGCTCCAATCCTTCCTATTTGGTCTCACAATCTTTTGAAGGATATACTTGATCTCCTTGTTCGAACACTCGGCTAACCCATTTGTTTGAGGATGATATGGGGTTGCCACCTTGTGTAGAACACCATATTTTTGAAGTAAAGAGGAGATAGTCTTGTTGCAAAAGTATGTCCCTTGGTCTGTGATGATTGCTCTTGGGATGCCAAACCTGTAAAATACATGAGACAAAAGAAACTTTGCCACAACTTTAGCATCATTAGTTCTAGTGGGGATAGCCTCAACCCACCTAGAAATAAAATTAACACAGAATAATATATATTCACAACCATTGGAAGAGGGAAAAGGACCCATGAAATCCATACCCCAAACATCAAAGATCTCACAAAATATAATGGGCACCTGTGGCATTTCATGTCTCTTTCCCAAACTCCTAAAATGTTGACATGCATGACATGCTTTGCAAAATTGATGTGCATCTTTAAAAAGATATGGCCAATATAAACCACAATCTCAGACCTTCTGCCCGGTCCTCCTAACCCCAAAATGATCACCACATGCATAAGTATGACACATCCTCAACACATCATCAATCTCAACATCAGGAACACATCTCCTAATGACACCATCACCATACAATCTCTAAAGAGTAGGTGAATCCCAAACATAATATCTACTTTCCTTAGCAAGCTTCTCCCTAGCATGTCTAGTAATCCCATTTGGAAACACATTATGCACTAATAAATTGACAAAATCAGAATACCAAACAACATTATGGGAAGAAATAGCACATAATGATTTATCTCTAAACTCATCACAAGGGAAATCAAAAGAGGAATTCACCATAATGGAGTCATAAGGCAATTGACTCAAGTGATCCGCCACATGATTTGCTGCTCCACTCCTATCAATGATCTCCAAATTGAACTCTTGAAGTAGAAGCATCCATCTAAGCAAACATGACTTGGTGTCCTTCTTCTTTAAAAGGTACTTCAAGGCCACATGATCTGTAAAACAACAACCTTGGAATGCAATAAGTAAGATCAAAACTTGTCAAGAGCAAATACTAATGCATACAATTCTTTTTTGGTTGTAGTGTAATTGCATTGTGCTTTGTCTAAAGTCCTAGATGCATATGCAATAACATAAGGTAGCTTGTTTTCCCTTTGTCCCAACATAGCCCTAACAGCAAAATTAGAGGCATCACATGAAATCTCAAATGGAATCAACCAATTAGGACTCCTCAAAATAGGAGAGGAAACAAGCTTAGCCTTCAAAGCATTAAATGCATCTCTACAACTTGGAGAGAACTCAAATTTGACATCTTTTTGAAGTAATTGAGACAAGGGATGTGCAATCTTTGAAAAATCTTTAATAAATCTTCTATAAAAAACCCACATGGCCAGGGAAAGATCTCAAGTCCTTGACATTAGTTGGATAGGGCAGAGATGAAATCACTTCAATTTTGGCCCTATCCACCTCAATGCCACGGCTTGAAACTAAGTGGCCCAAGACAATCCCTTACTCAACTATAAAATGGCACTTTTCAAAGTTCAAAATCAAGTTCTTCTCCACACATCTAGCAAGGACTTTATCAAGATTTCTCAAGCAAAGAAGAATAAGAATTCCCATAAATTGTGAAATCATCCATGAACACTTCTATGCAATTTTCAATAAAATCACTAAAAATACCAAACATGTATCTTTGGAAGGTCCCTGGAGCATTACATAATCCAAAAGGCATTCTTCTATATGCAAAGGTACCAAATGGGCAAGTGAAAGTGGTTTTGTGTTGATCAACCGGATCAATGCAAATCTGAAAATAACCATTATATCTATCAAGAAAGTAATAATGAGATTTCCCCTTTAATCTTTCTAACATTTGATCAATAAATAGGAGAGGGAATGGTCTTTCTTGGTTGCCTCATTCAACCTCCTATAATCAATACATACCCTCTAACTATTTTGTATCCTAATAGGAATCAATTCATCATGTTCATTCTTTACCACAGTAATTCCACTCTTCTTGGGCACAACTTGCACTGGAGACACCCATTCACTATCACTAATAGGATAGATTATACCTACACTCAAGAGTTTGGTAACCTCCTTCTTTACCACATCAAGTATGAGAGGATTCAACCTCCTTTATGGTTGCCTTATTGCCTTGGAATTTTCCTCCAACATGATCCTATGTGTGCAAGTTTGAGGGCTAATTCCAGGAATGTCTCCAAGTGTCCACCCAATAGCTTCAATGTTCTTCCTCACTACATCACACAACAAAGACTCTTCTATAGGGGTCAGTGAAGAAGAAACAATAATAGGAAGTTGATTACCATTTCTTAAGTAAAAATACTTAAGATGTGAAGGAAGTGGCTTCAACTCCAGATTGGGTAGCTCAATGATGCTTGGAGGGATCTTTTGCACTTAAATTTGCCTTACTAGATCCATCTCTTTAAGTGGCACATCCAAGCTTCTCACAGCTGCTGTATGTAAAATTTTGTCCAGATTGACTTGCTTGGTTCCAACTTTGTGCCTAACATCCACATCTGATTGGCTTGCTCAAGAATTAATTCCAGGTTTGGCTAGATCTAATTCTAGACTTTCAGTACCAATTTGCATGCCCCTTGGATCATTAACAGCCCTAAAATCACTTTGTTCATGCTTTTCAAGTGTCCTTAAACCTGAAATATCACAAGTAAAACACTCCTCCAACCTTAGAGAATGATTAGGCATAAAAGGATCAAAGCTGTCAAAAATTCCAGAATTAAATTCACTAGAAGAAATCAAATGATGTGATGAAATATGACATGTGGAAGATGAACTAGGGCTATTATTAGATACAATTTTACTCTCATCACTTGATTTAATTACTAAATTAATAGAATTTCCAGAATTGATACTCAAATCATCAAACTCATCTAATGTAAGCAAATCACTCAAGGAAGCATATGTTTAGTCATGTGAGGAACTAGCCAACACAAGTGCTTCAAATGGAGTGCAAGTAGATGAGTGAGGCATATCAAGTATGCTGCCATTCAAATGCTCATGCTTAAGTGAATGCAATTCATCTTGATTTTTCAAATTAAACAAAATTAACACTATGTTATTTCAATTCACACAAATAGAGTCATAAGTGCATGAACAAGTAAAACTAGGCAAAGAGGCAACATCATCCAAGCTAGGAGGCATAGAAACCTCATCAATGATTCCATCAAGTGTATCATCAATGCAATCCACAAAAATAATCAACATAAGAGTTTTTCAAGCTATCAAATATGTTAAATTCAATCTTGCTGTCTAAAAACTCCATGGTAAGTTTACCTTCCTTCATGTTCAATATAGTACTTGATGTCATCATAAAAGGTCTCCCAAGGATGAGTGTGCCTTGGCCTCCTTCTTGCATATCCAACACATAAAAATCTACTGGAAAAACCAAATCCTTGACCTTTACTAAGATGTCTTCCAAGAATCCCTTAGGCTTCCTTGTGCTCTGGTCGGCTAGTTGCAAGATGACACTACAATCTTGAAGACCACTAAGATTAAGGGAAGAATAAATGTGAGTGGGCATCACATTGAGGGCTGCCCCTAGGTCAATCAAGGCTTCTTGAACAAACATATTCCCTATTTGACAAGGAATGGTACATGCCCCCGGATCTCTATACTTTAGAGGGAGTTGTGGCTTGAAGACAGAATTAATATTAAGACTCATTTGAACTGCAACTAATGGTTTGAATCCCTTTTTATTATTGCACAACTCCTTCAAAAACTTTGCACACTTAGGCATGCTTTTTATCATCTCAAGAAATGGTATGTTCACTTCCACCTTCTTTAACATATCAAACACATCATGCCTATCTTCTTCTTGCCCTTTCTTAGCAAATCTAGTCAAGGCCTTAGGGAATGGCATATCCCTTGAAATAGGGTTCCCAATTTGATATTCTTTTGGAGGCTCTCTTCTTCCCAACACCTCTTTCTCCTTAGGCTTGCTTGAATCATTCTCATTTGCCTTAGAATATAGATGAACCATGGCTGTTCCAGCACTGTCTTAGCCTTGATTTGAGATCAATTTCACTTCTTTTCTTAAGCATTCAGGGCTGATCTTGCCCCATTTACATCCTCAACTACAATCTCTTCAATAGAGTCATCCTCATCATCAATTACTTGAGGACTTAGAGAAGTAGGAGGCGTGTTCTTGAGGCTATGTAAGGTACTTAGATGCATATTTAGCTTGCTGTCATAGCAAGTAAAATCACGTGGATCAGCAAGAGAAAGTGGTCTTCCTTCACAAATTTGAGAATTCCTTAAAATAACCTCACTAGGCTTGCTGCCACTATGGTTTGAGGCACTTGGAATGGCTTCAAGAACTCTTCCACTCTTCAACTCAATTATACTAAGGCTCTTTGGATTGATGACAGGTTGAGTTGGGAGCTTTCCACTTCCTTGAGCTTGGCTAATGCTATTTGAATTCCCAAATTGTTGTATCACTAAATCAGTGCTTTATTATTTTGATTCAAGATTATCTAGCCTTTTAAGCATCATGTCCATTTTCAATTCTATCCTAGACACATAAGAATCAAACTTTTGGCCCATAGAAAACATAGCATCATCTATCCTCTCAAGGTAGGAATACATTTGTTTATCACCTCCACCATCTTGAATAGGGATCACTTGAGAATTCTTTGCTTGCACAACCTCTTGATTACCTTTGTAGCTGAAGTTAGGGTACTGCCTCCAACTTGGGTTATATGTGCTCCCATAGTTAGCCTCAAAATTGTTCCTTGCCCCTTAATTATGTTGATAATTGTAGGGCCTTTGTTGTTAAGACACAGCCCCAATATCTTGAGCATGCATGTAATTAGAGGTCATATGCATTGTGGAATTACATATACCACAAATAGGAGCCATTAGAGCATTGTACATAGAAGCAATCTGAGCTTGTGGAGGATTAGAGATAGACATCTTGAAAAAATCCAATTGAGAGTAGATATCCTCCAATTGGGAATTAGCAATAGAAGATTGGCCCACTTAGTGAATACCCCTTGCATCTCTTGAGCTATATTGTTGGTTATTATTTGCAAGCTTTTCCAACAAGGTCCATGTATCATCCGGTGAAAGATCTAATAGAGAGCCATTTGCAGCAGCATCTATAGTCTCTCTATCATGAATTTGCAAACCCGCATGGAAATAATCAATGAGGAACTCCTTGCCCACATTTAGGTATGGACACTTTGCAAGCAACTAAAGAAACCTCATCCAATGCTCATAAAGAGATTCTTGAAGGTGTTGTTAAATCCCCATGATTTGCTTCCTTAGTTGAGAATACTTGGTTGCTGGAAAATATTTTTCAAGGAAGCAATTTCACATCTCCACCCAAGAATTGATGGTCCTTGTGGCAAGAGTATTAAACCATGTGATTGCTTTGTCCTCAAGAGTAAAATAGAAGACCTTGAGCATCAAATTCTCTAAGTTTACTGTGGGAGGTTTCATGGTTGAACAAACCCTCTTAAGTATTTGAAGATGCCTATTAGGATCCTCACCTGCAAGGCCATGGAATTTTGGCAAAGCATTAATCAATGAAGGTTTGATTTCATACTCATTTTGTTCTTGTAAATTTAAAAACAAGCCACTAGGTCTAAATGTGTCAGTGGGTGCTACCATCTCTCTAATACTCCTCCTAGTAGGTATTTCATGTTCATTACCATGCAATCTATTAGCCATACTGTCCAAAATCACAGAATTATCAACTATGGTGTTTGGAAGAGAAGAAGATGCTAAGAACTCTAAGTATTGATCTTTAAATTCAATATAATTTTTACTAAGTTCTTTGCAAGTCCTACAAGACATATAAAGCTCAGAACACCACAAAAATAGCACTAGACCAAAGAAAAATCAAAAATTTGAAAATAGGCAAAAATTCTAAAAACTGGCAGAATTGAAACACACTGAGGCAATATTATTGTAAAAATTTTTTGAACGTGCAAAAAACAAAATTAGCAAAAACTCAAAACTAAAAATTTAAAGCTAAAACACTGAATTAAATGCAAGAATTTTTATAAACAAAATTTCCAAATAGGGAAAGAGATATGCTCATCCAAAGTTAGCCCTGTCTGCCTGGAGTGTCACTGGGAGTCAGCAGTGGACCCTATGTGCTTGTTCAGTGCACAACTCTCTGGTCCCGAATCAAATTGAGCTGAAATTTTTACCTGAAACTTTTAACACACAGAAGGTTATACAGTCTAATTTTCAAGAAAACATTCGTAGTCAATTCTTCCCAGTATTTTTTTGAATTAGGGTCTGCAGCACTGGAATTTCTAGTGAACCTTGTTTCAGTCAAGCAAAAATTCAACCAACTTAATGGCCAAATTAGCAATCATGTTCAACATAAAAAAATGTTTCTAAGATAACCAGGAACACAATGAAAAAGAATCAGCTTAAAAAGATATGTCTAGCAAAAATTATACTTGTCCAAATTTCGTGCAAAATTTCTGGACAGAGCAAATTCTCACAGCTTGCTGGCACTTGAGCTAACCTTGATAGATTTAGCTTGCACGTCTAGAATCAATACTATGGTGACTATATCCAGTAGCAAACAGACCAACAAGTGATCAAATGCTCAGAAAACACAAATCAGCCACCACAACACAAATTCCAGAATTAAGTCAAAATGTAAAACAAATTTAAATAGCAATTGAAACCATAATTTGTATGGCTAGTTGCTCCCCAGCAACTGCGCCAATTAATGAACCCTTTAGTCACCTTGGGTTATCAAATTTTACTAGAATGTAGAAGTGAGCATTCTAGGTTATTTTCCTGGAGAGCAAAGCATACAAATCATTGTTCAAATGCCACAAATTAATATGAATTTTTCAAGTAACTAAACTAACTCTATAATGCAACAATAAATGTTTGTAAAATTTTGTTTTGGTTGTTATGAAATGAATGATGATTATGGTGAGCCCAAGTCAGATTTCCTAACATTAATCATTGATTTCCAGAATTATAACATCATAAACCTTCTTGATTAACCTAAAATGAGACACTTAGAAACCTCTAAGTGTGATGCACCATTTGACTCAATGGACACTAATGAATCTAGGTCAAGTAAACTTAGAAATTAACACTATATTCAGCCTTGTTCTACACAAGTTTCAGACCAAAACTAGTGGAAGAAAAATAGCTTAAGTCAAATTCATATAACTAATATGAATCTAACTCAAGTCTACATAAGAACTTGAACAAGAATCAGCAAGAACTTATGAAATAACCTTAGAACATCAAGGTAAATCATAAATTCCAGAACTGAAAATAGCATAAAAATCTAAATTCAACAATCATATTCTTATCAAATCTGAATTAGAATCACAAATTCCTTAACTAAACATAGGTTTAGAATCGAATCTTCAAAGAATCAAAATAAGAACATGAAATCAAGAAAATAAACACAACAATTACAAATCTGGAAATCTCATAATGTCAAGTCATCTTTCTTGGAGCTCTAAATGATCAGCCTCTCATGCTCTTCCTCTTCACTTGAATCAGACCTTGAGAAGCTCTATGAATGTATGAAGATGAAGATGAAATCTGGAGATAAATGTGTGTTGGATGAAATCTGGAGGAGAAGAAGAAAATGGACAAAAATTTGGAGGAGAATGAAGGCAGAATTCAATGTGAATGAAGGAAAAAGGAGAAGAAATGATTTGGACAGTGAGAGGATGAGAAAATGACGTGATCTGGACAAGAAGATGTGAGAACTGAATCTGGAAGATTGGAGAGTGAATATGAACGAAAATTGAGAGAGAATATGGCTAAAGTGAGAGAGTGGGATTTGAATTATGAAGCTCCAGTCTAAAAATTTAGCTTATGTATGTGTGAATAATGTGAAGATGATGAAACCAAAGTGAGTAGTGATAAAAACAAGGAAAATCCAGATCTAAAGTTGGTTAATTTCCAACTGGAAAATGGAATTAATTGGCTAAAATTCAAACTGAAACTAGTGCCTCATAACTGAATGAATGAGTATGGGAAATGTGACTTGATGCATGGATAAAAATTTAATTCCCCTTAGCTTGCTTCAGTTCCACGTGAGTTTCATGCATTTCAGACTAAATCATGCCTAAATTGCTCTTTGATTGCCTCATGATGATGTCAGCTATTGCTTCCCATTTCTCATGATGATGTCATGCAATGAATTCTTGGATCAGGTCTCACGCACATGTGCTCATGACTTGCCCATTATTTATTTAATTTCCTCAATAAATTTATGAAATTAGGCTTGCCAACTCAACATTAATTAAATCTGAAGATGACACCATTCAGCCCTTCATATGCTCTTGACCTCTCTAAAATTGTTGACCAAGTCTTTGCTCCTTGATTTCAAGATTGCCCTCACATAAATCTGAAAATAAAAACACAATACTACATAAATTCTAAAAAGAAAAATTAAAAAGGAAGAAAATGAGAATTTAGGCCCAAAAATCCAATCAAGCGTCTTAAAGTCTCAAACCATCCACCAAATAACATTATTAGGGTCTATATAGTCAATGTGTGAAACATAGCTAAAATTCGAGAAACAAACCCTAATATGCACTATTTGGTGTCAAAAACCAAGTGTATAACATGTAAAATATGAAGTAGATCAGTTGTCTTCCCAAGAGCATAAGCTGATATCTTCCATTTACAACCATTAACATTGTATTTGATAATCATCTTCTTAGGGCTTTTTGTTACAAATATGTAACCAAACCTATGAGTGAGGCTGTATTTATATAGTACTTTTCTAAATACAATTGCATCATCAAATGCCTGGCCAATACCCATAAATAAATCCTTCCATTTTACCGAATTAACCTCAGGCAGTGGTGCAAGAGCATTTTATGTTGAACATGGCAAAGAGGGTAATATACTTTCAAGCTCTTGCCTACAGGGAGATCCTGACAGTGACCATGGTAACAAATCCTCCATCCTACATTCATAATTACTCACAAGTCAATATAAATGGTGATTAAATTAATTAAACACACAAATAAC